TTCATAAAAATATGTTCAGCCCTTTATTAGAAAATCTTTCAAAATATCTTATTTGTGAATTTCGAAAAATTCATCTTTACTTTATCATGTTTATATTTTTATTACTATAAGGGAAGATATTATTCAATTATATACCATTTGAAAGGTCGTCACGAGTACTACAAACTGATATAGAAACATAATGGTTAGACATTGTTTAGTGTGTCCATATAAACGAATTTCATCGCGTCCCAAGACTTATGAAACACTCTGTATATACTGACGAAAATCAGGCTTTCAGTAGATCCGAGAGTGTTTTCAACTTGAACAGGCTATCTTGATTCGAATCTTTGTTATCCTTGTTCGAAAAATGCCAAAACTCGAGGAGTAATTCGAACCTCTCTCTCGGCATAGCGTTTCGAATAATCTCCGACCTGTATCACTGACTGTTGCTCCAGTAGTGGCTCAGTCTCGGCATTTGTACCAACTCCACGTCGATGATAACTCCAAAGAACTTGAGCATTTCTTCATCAGTGGTTGGTTTCCATTGACGATATTTGGACCGTCTGCTCATCTCATAGATTTGGAAGTATTGCTCCCCATATCGATTCCTTTCATGAACCATAAGGTCAATAATTTCGTCCGTGATGAAATGCCGATAACAATCGATAGGATCGATTGCATTATCTTCTGAAGCAGAAGTTACTCCTTCGACGAGTCCATGTCTTGCATGAATTCTGCATTCGATTCTGATTTTATGTAATTCCAAACGTTTGAATCCACATCGTCAATAGTCATTTCTTCTTCGAAACTTTCAGATTCAAGATCCATTCTATCAAAATCATCATCCAAAGAGTTCACTTCACTTAGTGAGCTAGCGCTTTCTTCTGTATCAATTCCTTCGAACGACATGTGAACTGTTTCGAAAATTCGACCGCATATATACGTGAAAGCACAGAGACAAGAACAAACAGGAAAAAGCTGGAACTTTCGTTCGGACTCATTATGTGATGATACGAAAGAGAATAATGAATAATCCGTTAAAGGAAAATGAAAAGGTCACTAAGTACATTTATTGGAAGTTAATACTCGACAGAAATGGATATTTTGGAGACTTTTTCCAGGAAAACTGAATCGTGGTGAATGGGTTAACGATCTTGCATCTCTAAATAATGATGCACATGGCTGTGAATTGAATAAATATCGGGGTGGCCAGTCTAGCCGAAAGGTACAACTGTTTTTATCATTTAACTTCTATAATACATCAGTATAATATGATTTTGTTACCAGTTATAGTACTAATATAGTGCTAATGATTTATTATTATCCGGGTTATGTATCTTTTCAAAAAACAAAATAATCAAGCGTTTTCATAGGAAGTTTTGGCGAACTAAGTATCACGTTTGTCGACTACATAAATTTTCAGTAAAGAGACTTAGTAATCAATAATGCATTTGAAGTCTGCATCAACAATAAATAGAAACAAATATATCTACAGTCAAACATGAATATCTTCAAGATGAACAAATCACTGCCAAAGAGGTTAGTGAAGAAAAACATCTTTTATTTATCGATTATTCTCTCGTTCTCACATCAGTATATTCGTCCCACATGTTGAACACTTGATTCGGTTCATATAGTCATCCTTTTTCAATTGCCTCGTTTCTGTTCTACCTTTGATCTTCTTTCTCTTTTTTCTTCTTTGTACGTTCGGTCATTTTGAAATAGTTCCACTAAAGTGATACAAGCATCCAAAGTGTAGGTGTGGGTGTGGGTGTGGGTGTGGGAGTGTGGGTGCGAAAGTGTGAGTATAGATGTAGGTGTAGGGTATGGGGTGTGGGTGTGAGTGAAATGTTGGCGTGAATCGTGTCTTATTTCACACCCACACCCAAACTAGAAAAACCTGTGATATTAAAGTTGTCGCTACATTATGCAAATTTACCTGCCTTTTTCTTAAAAAAGACAAAAATTGTGCCAAAAACCTATCCTTAGGAATCAGCTTCTCTAGAAACCTTAACCAAACGTAAAATAGCTTTTTAATGTGATTTACGAAAGAGCACACTTCGACGAATACGAATCCTGAGTTTCGCAATAGGTGAGTGAACATCTGCAGAGATATGAGAACATCGAATTTAGTCAATTTGTACTCTTTCACGTTGCTAGTAAATGCATCAGGTCCATGACAAAAAGTAAATCGAATTTTTTGAAAAAAATCTCAATATTATCAGTAAAAACTTTCGACAGATATTTTGTAGCCTCCAGAGTTATCTACAGAGGGTACTGTTTAGTTTTCCAAAAATGCTGTCTCAACTTGCAGTTTTTTTAAACTGAAATACATCCGGTGAAAATTTATATCCTTTTTTGAGTAACGTTCCTAACGCTACATTTTTAGTAACAATTCCTATGAACAACAACCTATAGGACTGATTTTTTCACGATATTTAGAGTAGCTCAACATGCATGTAACCTGTAAAAACTAGCTCCAGAAAAGTTCATTACCCAGAGATATACGTATTTTGATTTTGCGGCGTCACGTTCCTAACGAATAAAATGCTCGATATATGTTTAGGAAAAACTAGGGGTGTCGGCTTAGCGTTAGCATTGCATTAACTTATTGCTAGCATCAACAGCTTTTTATCACTATTTTAAGATAAAAGTAGTGCCATTTGTATTGATAGGTGTAGTGCTGAAGCAAAGCTAGTATGTCTGAATCATTTCAATACGTTTGTGTTACATCTTCAATACAAAAGCCTTGCAACTAGTATTCAGTTAACCTTTTGGGAACTAACTTTTTTTTTAGAAAAAAATTAGGTCTTCGCTTATAAAATCACCTGACAGCTATTAAATACAATTTTTTCATCTAGAAAGAAATCAAAAGACGTAGTGTTTATTATAAAACAGAAGAAATACATCATTTCCTGGAAGTGAGAACAATATTTGGATAGAGCAATAAATCAGGTATGTGATTTCAAGGACTCAATTCTTAAATTAATTGAGTACTTTTTTGTGTTTTAGAAATTGGAATACTCACATTTCAAGCTCTTGGCGTCTCCATCAATACCATCGTCAACAGAGAACACTTAAACAAGCTATTTTTTAAACCTTTTTCGCTAAATTTCTTTACTCTTGACCTTTCTTGCTAATTTGTCGGTATCCATTACTAATCAATTTTTTTTATATGCTAATCTTTTTCATTTCAGTACACATTTCGATTTTCATAATAAAAGAGGTCATGGCTAGTCTTAAACTATTAGTAGTTTTCACTAAATATCTGAACTCTTATATCTCATTTTCTTTGATAATATCCGAAATCTACTTTTTTTGTTTCAAATTGCAAGATTCATATGAAAAGAATACGCATATGCAATATATCTATCAAATAATTCAAAATTACGATAAGAACTCAGATATCAGATATTAATGAGGCGAAGATCGACCTATATTTCTAGAATACAAATCAATATGCTAGTCTCAACTTTTTCTTTTCATCAACCGGTTTTCTGTCGAAAATAAAATATTTAATTGATGTGCTTGAATTAGAATTAATTTAAAAGAAATGCAGAGTTAATTTTGCCAACGTGTTTCGTGTTTTGTATTGATATAAATGAACACCCATCATGGTCTGCGTTCTATTCATCAAATAGTCGATGGTGGAGAAAAATAATTTTAAATTAAAAAACAAAAAAGAAAGCTGTTAGCGCAATCCCTTGCGGGATTGAAAATGTGAAACACGATGGATCTATTGTTACTAGTTGAATGGAAATTGTTTTGTTCCATTTCTTTGCGATATATTTGTAGCTAACGGTTTATCTAATGCTTTAGAACTACAGTTTCTCTGTTACGATCTGTGATGGATCCCAAGCCCTGTCTGTCACGGTCTGTGATGGGGGAGTCACCTGTCGGTAACGATCTGTGACAGGGGCAGCACCTGTCGGTAACGGTCTGTGGGGAGAGGGGGGGGGATGCAAAATTTCTACCTTATACACTTCAACACTCCTTTCAGATCGTGTTTCACAAAATGATTATTATCTAGTGTATAGCAATGATTATAAATGAAATCGAGCGCGCTTAGATGAAAAAAGATATTTTCTTTTTTTAATATACAAATAAATAATAAATTCTCGGTCTTTTCATCAATTGTCAATGAAAACAACTATAGTTGACAAGAAGTCTTTCAGTATATAGATGATACGCCAGGTAACAACGCTAAAGGTATAGGTGATTTCCACATTTCAGCTCCTCAGGAGCTGCGCTAACAAGCTTTTTTCGATCGTATTTCACACAATAAAATATGATAAGATACAAAACTTGAACAAAGTTTCGTGCGTCTTATGAAACCTAAAAATATCTTGAAATTCCTTGAACATGAAGAATAGTGTGAAAAATGAAACAAAACTATCTATCTAATTTGCATCTTTAGCGATCACTTACGATTGATGAACCAACTTCCACTGTGCAGTGATTTACTTGTACGATTTTTTCCGGCTAATTCAGCATGGAAATTCTTGCGTAACTTACCAATAGCTGGTTATACTTGAAGAGCATTTGATGATTTATTTCACATCAATTTTTCACCTATTGGCATGCCGTCATCCTCTTCTGCTTATAATTCTTATGGAATGGAAATGCTTTGATCATTGGGTTATTTATTTCAAGATAAATACAATGCTGATTCTCAATTCATAGTTGATGTTCAAGATAAAAATTTATATGATTTATCTTGTACAATCTGGCGTAACCTAAAACAGAATCATTGTTATCGAATTAGAGATATATTGCATGAGGCAATTTCAAAAACAAATCATAGAGCTTCTGATGAGTCGTCACACTTAAAATAAGTAGCATTTGCAATTATAACACCAGATCGTATTCAATATCAACCGATGCTAGTGACGCGTTGCCATCGAGGACTTGAATTATATCCTCCAGAGAATTGGTTACTTGTTCACATACGTGATTATAATGGAATAGATAAAATTAATAATCTAGATCTTCAAATGTGAGTACGTTTTAGAAATTTAATGATAAAAGGTATTGCTCGTGATAAACGTTATTTTCAAAATTTTGGATCATCGGGCAGCCAAATGAATGAACATGCTGGTTGGTTTCTCTCGCTTTCGCAGGGAACAAGGATGGAATCAGCACGTGCACAAATCGGAGATTTGTCAAAAAATTGTGAATGTATCTACTTATATTGCACGAGTTGGTCTATATCTGACAACATGAAAGTCAGCGGGGGTAATTTATTGTATTTCTATCTATTACTATCTTTGAATTTTTACCTCGCTTTTTTAAGCATGTTGATCAACTTCTTCAGTAGTCAGTTGAAAAAAAATATCATACGCAATTCTCATTCTGATTATATTTCTGAAAGATTGTTTACTATCACCATCTGTTTTTAAATTTACGCTAAACTAATCTATAATGAAACACCATATTTGGAATGAACGTCTAGTGGATTCTCACGTTTGACAGCAGCAGACAGACGCCTCGTATAACAAAAACCTGTACAACAATTCACTTGTCAGCAAATGTTTTATTTAGTTTTTTAAATCTAAAAATGAGAAAACAGAGTACACGGCAACTATCATTCCAGATATTGAACACTATGGATTTTGTTTCACTGATGGCTGTGGCACAATATCGCTTGGTCTTGCGAAAAAACTAGCGCAAAGTATCGGCATTCAAATTAAAGAAAAGGTTAGTCGTTTGTTTTTTGATACTTTATCAATTTAATTTTATATAATGAGACTTTAGTCGGATATACCTTCGGCTTTTCAAGTTCGAATAACTGGGTGTAAAGAAATGTTATCGATTGATCCTGAATCGAAATCAAATGAATTCTATATTAAAGTTCGAAAAAGTATGATAAAATTTGAAAGTGATGATTGAACTCTTTATGTTGTTAATCATTCTCGACCTAGTAAATAATCAAACAATAGTTTTCAACATACTATTTGTTGTTCTGTATATGTATAGTACCATTGAGTTTGAATAATCAAGTTATTCGATTATTGAGTGATTTGGGCAATAGTAATGGTGTATTCGAATCTATTCAAACGCGTTGTATTGATCGGAAAGAGTTTTGGCATCCGCCAGCAAAATGCTATTTGAATCCATTAGACTCTGTTGATCAATCAGTAATAAATGAAAATCAACAAAAATATAAAAATGCGTGAGTTTATGTGAAGAATTATATTAATAATGATGTCTATATTCTCGAGATCTGCAGGAACAATTTTCTTATTCGTGATAAAATTCCATTGCCTGTTAATGAAGCTCGATGTCTATTCGGCATAGCCGATGAAACTGGTACATTAAAACCAGGAGAATGTGTCATTCAGTATTGCAGCCGCGAGAATTCGTCCACTTCCGAAAAATATATTGTACCCACAGGTATAATTTTAATGCTTCGTAATTTTATTTACTAATTGAATCATGTTTATATTGTAATCATAGGTACTTTATTAGTTACTAAAAATCCATGTCTTCATCCAGGAGACATCCGTAAGCTTAAAGCTGTATATGTACCAAAGCTTCAGTCTTGTATACGCGATGGTATTGTATTTTCTACTAATGGCCATCGGCCTAGCTTTAATGAAATGACTGGAGCTGATCTTGATGGTTATCAGTATTGGGCTTATTGGGATGGTGAGTTTCAAATCGAAGAAGTTGTTAAACCATTNAATTAGTTATTCGTAATCTATGTCAATTTTATGAAAATATTTTTGGCACTTTATCTCTTTTTACAACTGATGTTATACTTGCTCCTCCTCGTATTAAATTACAACCACCACTTGAAGAAATCATTAATTCTATTCGGCGTAGTGCTCATGGAATAAGTCAATTACCTAAACATTTCGTACGGTGGTTACATGGTACATGTATATCATGTCCCGTAATACCAGTACTTGAGGAAAATCTTGAATCACCTGATTTTACTTTTTATAATGATGTTAAACAACATCCTGATGTCGTAAGTAGAAATAAACTATTCCTTTGTTTGTTTTTTCGACTTAATTAAGTTAAGTATTAAGTGGTTTTACTTAACACTTAAAATTCAATTTAAGTGATTGCAAATCATCTACAGAAATTTTACGCTTTAACCAATCAGAATTCAGCAAATAATGTCGTCACTATTGTAAAGATAAAGCATATTGTTGTTCGGATTTATTAGTGGTTCTATCTTAAATGGTTCGGACAACATCATGTTGAGTTCGTATTTCAGAAAAGAAAAACTTGCAGTTAAATTATATTTGTCAAACGTGATCAGTCAAACTTGATTGAAAATGAATTACAGTAGTGGACAAAAGTCTCCATCATATAGAACCTTAGCCATTATAAATGTTCGAGGGTTGAACATTTTTGTCCACACACACGGTCAAGAGTATAGGTTAGGAAAACTCATATTGTCCGGAATTATGAAGTTCAAAGGCAATATAGGCGCCATCCATTATCCTGCTTTCTTGGCGAGTTAAATGCACACAAATTTTCAGACCTCTAGCATCTATTACGATTGAGATCTCGTCTATGACGGACAATTTTGTCCACTATTATAAGTATTAAATGCTTTATGCTGATTCGAGTGTTTTTAGGTTTCAACATTAAAACCAGTTCGATCTTATGCTTCTGGATTAGTTACTTCTATAAATAAAACTCTTACTCAATTATTAACATATAATGATTTATGGAAGAGTGATAAACAAAAATATACAAGTCGATTTGTTTTAAAATCTCGTACATATTCTGATTATGATGAAATAATGAAAATTTTTTCTAAAATTAATCAAACATTTGATTATTATTTAATTAATAAAAATATTTATTCAATTGAATTATGTTTTAAACAATTTCATCAAGCATTAAAATATCATTGTAAAGAATGGATAAATCATTATGGACAACATTTATACAATAAAATGTCAAATAAACTAAAAGAAATTGATAATATTATAAATAATTTATTTCAAGGTCTTAATCATGATGCTGATACAATACCTGATTTAAAATTTGTTTTAAATATAATAAAACAAATAAATCAACAACAAGAATTAATTGGACATCAAATTTATGACATCATACAATCATATCAAATATTAGATCAATATCATTTTGAATATTCACAAACAGAATCAAAACTTATACAAACATTATTTCCACGTTTAATAGAACTTGTTGAACAATCACATATTATAGAACATC